GAGAGAGAGGGAGAGAGAGAGCTCACCAAAATGTGCACGTGTTTCTTTTGGACTCTTCTCCAGTTGGGCCGTGCCAACAGGGAAATGTGCTGTTTATGGGACAAATGGCCCATGGCGTATTTGATCCTTTCGGACAGCATGTTTGCGATTCTCGTTCTCAGCAGCCTCGCTAATTAATTCCCCTTGGTCACAAGCACGCCTCCTTCCTTTGCTCCTCGATTTTTATTATCCACTCAACCCTCCTTCCCCTCCCTTGTTGCACGATCCGATCAAGTTCAACCCGATTTCCGACGATTCGAGCGTCGGATGTATGGATGCGTGTCGATCGCGCCGATTTTACGAAAACGAAGGGGAAGAAAACACAGAGAAAAGCAGAAGTGGAAACTCGAATTTCGGTGAAATTTACCGAACCACGAAACTTCTTCCCTGTCTAACCCTTAATTTGGACGTGACGTGCCCGTCACTGAACAGAATATCGTTGAAAATTTAGAACGAATGACATTGACGTTGCGTCGAAATAAACAAATGACGGAATGAAGAAACATGATTGTAAACGCCGTTCCGTTTTCGCCAATCTTCTCGCCTGATTCTCGAAAACGCGCGCAAAAATAATCACATGGAAATAGAATTCCCCATGCGAAAGGGGAGGGGGGAAAAAAATCGAGGAAGATTTCGTGGAAGATCGATATCGATGGTGATTCCTTCCGTGCCCCCCTTCCCCCCTGCACCATTCGAAACGAGAGCTTGTTCCCGTCGTCGAAAAGAAAATACTCGTGTTCACCGAAGAATTATCCGTGGTCGAAAATATGGAAACCATGGGGGATTTTCGATTAATAACAACGAAACACGAGACGGTAAATACTCGGCTAAATTCCCTCGACGCCTGAACACTACTCTCCGTTAGTCCGTCGACGCGTGTGGAACCGCGAGCTTCGTTTTCACGCGTTCGTGAAACGAAAACGCTTCGTTAGAGCGCGTAAAAAAAGAAAAAAAAAAAAATGATGCGAAGGTGTACAATTTCAAAATCAAATTTCTCGACTCGATTACACGGCGATTCTTACTAATACGCCCGAGCGTGTAGTATTATTAACATCTCAGGATACGAGAAATATGAAAGAACAGGGGATGATAGAACGTAATTTCGAGCTCGCAGTATTACGTACAAAAGCTCTCTCGATGAAGATCTCTTAAGGGACATCCGGGCCCGCTTTATTCGTTTTCATCGTGTCCACGAACATCCGGACACACTCTCTCTCTCTCTCTCTTCTCTTCTCCTTTTTCCGCTTTCTTTCTTCTCCCGGCGCAACCGCTTCTCTCTCTTCCCCTTCACTTATCCTCCTTATCCCGTCCCCCCTTTTCCCTCTTTTTCCCACATCTTTCTCCATCTCGTTCCACCACTAGTTCCCTCTCACTCTGTCAACCCCGCATGGGAAATCTCAAATACGAGTCTGTTTACTTGGCACTTGGAATCCCGGTGGATATCGATGATAAGATTTTACTCCAACTTCACCTAGCTCGCTTCATCAACCGCTTCTTCACTCCTCGTGGACCGTCGCTGCCGGGTCCAACTATAACCATCCTCGCGCTCAGGTTTCGCGAATAACACGATAAATATATGTACGTATATCACAGGGACTCGTGCCCTAACCGAGAGACCGAGTTCGAATTTCAACGGCAAAAAAAAAAAAAAGAAAGAAAAAAAAACGCGTCATTGCGACTCGGCGAAAAGCCAGCACTGCACCCCGGCTAGACGTTAATAAAAATTTCTCTCCCTCCCCTTACATCGGGATCGCGATATTTCTTTTTCCATCTCTCGCCAAATTCATTCCTTCCTTTTGCTTTCCTCAAAGTTTTATTCCCATTTTTCTTTTCTTTTTTTTTTTTTTTATTCCCTTCCTTCTCTCCGAAAAATTTCTATTCTACCAGGCGGATATTAATTCGTGGTTCCAACGACGCGATACAGTCGTAATATACTTTTATACTCGATTAACGTTGAAACGAGAAATGTTCGGCTACGGTACTTGGTTCCTCGAGTTAATCCGATTCCGGCTTCGTGAATAGGGAAAAGGTTTCTGTCGCATCACAGATGCCAGCTAGATGCCAAGTACTGTTCATTGCTGAGAAGAAATTTCGCGGAGGAAACGCCTATTTTCACACGCGTTTTCTACCAATGGCATTCGTCACATATACTAATCGACGAAACGACGATCTGTATCTAAACCTCGATGCATTAGAACGTAGAATCCAGAGAATTTTAACGTATAATATAAAATTTTTTTTATCTCTCATAATTATGATTTGTAACGATACAAGTTTAATTTATAAATGTAATTTCGTGTCAAAATAATTAATAGCTTCGAAAATATTTCAATCTTAGATAATTATCGATTTCGAATATTCAAATTATAGCTCTTTTACTAGCATGCGATGTGTGGATTGTCAGAAACAAAGAATCTGAATATTATTAATCCAACGATAATCTGTATTTAAATCTGCATTAATTCAGAGTATCGATAAAAATTTTGTTATTTCTCATAATATGCTAATTACAATTTGTAACAATAGTTTAATAGTTTCGAAAATATTTCCGAAAAGGAAAACTAATTTTTCACGATTTTTATATATTCAAATTGTATCTCTTTTAATATTACGCAGCGTGCAGTGTCAGGATTGTCAACAAAGCGTCTGGAGTGGGGATAGGCGATCCTAGCGAAGGACCCCTCTTGCTCTTGTGACTTTTCACAAGTGAACAGTAGATACTTATATACTATGGCGTGAAGTTCGTTTGAAAATTCAATCCGCGACTGCTACACGTACCATTTACAATTATTCGTGAATCTGAAGGGCGTTAATACGAGATTAGAATAGCTGCGTTTCGATATCTTGCCAGTGAAATGGTGATGAAATTGAGCGATAAGTGAATCAAAGTGAAGCAGCAAAGAAGGAAGATAGAATTCGCCATATTACTTACCAGAGATACTTTTGGATTCTGTCTTCGATCCAACCTCGTGGATCCCCGCTTCGATGAAAATTTTGAACAATGGGTTACGTTCTGCTCGTGTATACATATTCGTCTCCCGCGGTTGTCCGTTTATCGATCGGCCATGCAACGTGCGCGCGCGCGCGCGCGTGTGTAACGATATTTAATTTCGCTACAATTTGCAAACGACGCAACACCGATCGGCCAATAATTCTCGAGGAGGGAACGGAATCCCCGTTCAACTTATCTTCGTAATTGCTTACGATAGTCGCAGGCTCTTTGCTCGAGCATCTCCGTTCGATTTTCACTTCTATCGTTTCCGCCTTCGATCGTCCTTTCCTATGCCCCATTTCGTTCCTCCTCGGTTTTCCACCAATTTACCGCTCTCTCGATCCGTGTCCAATATTGTTCCGCGGCTATGATAGAAATATCAAACATTTTTCCTTCTATTTACGGCTCGGTTCGGGAACCGATAATTCCAAATAATTTTTTTATATAAAAGTCTTAACGAATACAGTTCTGGAAATCTGGAAACTTTGTCTTAAGGAAGTTCGAAACGACAAAGATTTCTTAAAAAGTTATTAAAATGCTTAAATAATACTTATTCGTAACTTTTCATATAACCTTGGCTATTTGCTGTTACAATTCACGATTATTATTATTAATTCAACTATTAAATTTTTCCCATCACTGGGATCCACGATATTCCGACGTAAAGATATACAATTCGTCTCGTCGCTAGTGTTTCACCGGGTAAGTTTCCAACGGACTCTTTATTAATGCACTTCTTTCGAAAAACGACAGTATTCGAGTGAAAAATTCGTTCGTTGGTTTCATCGATGACCGATCGAAAGCGTACGTTACTAATATATTCCCCGATCTTTTGCTCGATTAATCGACCAAACATCTTGCCCATTAAGAATGCTCGTGCTCGGTCGGCCCATCGATTGTGGGAAGAAATTTCAATCGGAAAACGTGACAAGCATTAATGATCGTTCAACCGGCCCGTGTCTTTTGCCCAACGTTTTTATCCGCCTTATTTTCGACCGGATCGTTAACGGAAACTTGCCTCGATTCCGACGTGTATAACCACGTCAAAACACACGAGGAAACGCGACTTCGAAACTTTTCGAAATTCGTATAAACTAGAATTACGAAGGTAACGAGGAAAAATGATATCGAAAGATTAACGGATAAAAATTTCCTCCATTGTTTAAAACTTTCTAATTCGATTACTCGCGAGTCGATACAACCCGCATATTTCTCTCTTTCCACGGAGGATCATCTATCATCGAGTTTTTTTTTTCACCTTGAGAATTATCACCTTGAGTTGGAAACAAAATATCGAACGTCGAGCCCATCGATCGATGGAAGAAGGAAGCAAGGAACGACTCGCCGCGCGTACCAACGTATTTTAGAAAGCGACAACGTGACTTGCTCTCTGTCGGCGGGGAACGAGCAGGGAAAAAAGCAATTTTCCTTGGAAAAATGCCCGAAAAAAAGAAAAAAACGGGAACAAGTTTTTGATTCGCGTTTATAACATTCGCGGGCAAATTCAACCGCTTTCAACCACGCCAATGGAGCTAATTACTCTGCCCAACTGATTACACATCGATCGCTCCTTCGTTTGTTTCCTTCGTGTGCCCTCTCTTTCACCTTCGACGAAAGAAACGTAAACACAAGTTTCGTCCGGTCGAATTTACGAGAAAGAGATAGGACGCGAAAATGGGTCGTTATTCTCGTCGCGCTGAGTTTCTTGGCAAGGTCTGGGGGAGGGGCAGGGGGGAAAGGAAGGAAAAAAGTGGAGAAACTTGACGAACCGCGTAACGAAAGGAGAAAAGTTAGGTTGAATTCGAATTCGGTCGCGAATTCTTCCTTCTTCTTCGCTACTCTCGTTTCACCGAGAGTCAATATCGAGAGTAAATATACACCAGGAGGGAGGATATCTGGGAAAAATGAAACGTGGCGAGTTTGAAAGAAACGATTAATTCGTTCCTCGAGATCGAACGACCGACAAAATACCAAATTTCGATTTTATATTAGTTGGTAATTCGTTAATTGGAGGATGAATTTTGTTGACGTATCTCGACAACGCCGCCAGACGAAGAATACGGGATCCCTCGAAACAGGCACGTAGAAATTCAACGATTATCGCCACTCGTCTCTCGAGAGATCCGACGGGTCTATCGACGACGAATCCGTTACAGTGGTCGGTCGGTGTCGTAATTAGAACGATTCTTGGAACTGGAAATTGTCTTGCGACCAAGGGTCGGGAGGGAAACGAAAATAGCGGGCGAGTGAAAGGAAAAAGAAAGAGGGAGGAGGGAGAAAAAAAAGACAAAGTCGTTGCGGAATGTCGCCACGAGTTGTCTTCTGGCCGTCGTATCCCGGTTATCTCGACCACTTTATCCGGCAAAATTGTCGGCCGGAGCGGAGAGGCGAGGCGAGCCTCTCTTACGGCCACGAAAATTATATCGCGGGAGCGAAGTGGCGGACGAAAGGGGCCGCGAGCTTTCGTAAACTTGGCGGGCGGCGGCGGAAACGCGGGGTAACGAGGCGAGATAGCTCTCGAGCAAGTTTTCGCGAAATTTTCCACTCGACCCCCCGCCGCCCTTGTTACCCCGTGCCGCGAGATAAAGATAACCGCCTAGCTTCTTAATAATATTCAACCACCTCTACGATCGATCTTTCCAATTGCGAGAGATATCTGACCAGATCGTAGACAATTCGTTCGTAATTCGTACACCAATGGACTAATTTTGCTTCGTCAAAGCATGCTTGCCCTTTCACGGAGGAAGAATAAAACAGCCGATGAGAGATTAATCCTGGATATTCGAAGGCGTTGCGAAGAATAATTTTACGCGATCTCGCATGCCGGTCACACGGGAGCCGGATAGAAGGAAAAAAATTGGAACCGCTTGCTTCTTCTTCCTCCTCGTTTCCTCCCCTTCCCTTTCCCCGTCCCTTCACCGAACTGCGAACGGCATCTTCGATTTCGACCTACTTGGAAATCGAAACGGAAATAATGGGAGAAAATACCCGCCTTCGAACGTTTCAGTTTTTCGAATGTACCTGTAGAACGTTTATGGCTTAGAATAATAATAGAGGTAAAGCCGTTTCGATATCGATTCCTCTTGTCTCGTATATATATTTGGATCAAACAGCGAGTGTTTCGAGTGAAATTTCATTTTCAATTTTAATTGCGTTCACGCGTGGAGGAAAGTCTCGATCTAAAAAAAAAAAAGAAAGAAAGAAGAAGAAAGCCGGGTTGCGTGCGTTTAAGGTTTCTCGAGATTGGTTCTTTGGACGAATGATCAAACGGTGGTATCATTTGTCTCTAGCTTTACGGTGCGTTCTAAAAACTATAGTCGTAAAAAGAGCACGCTTTTAACCAGTAGCAAGGTTTTTTTTAGATCAATCTTCCTTTCGCGCGTAATGCTCTAGAAGCTGCCAACACGAAATGTGCGAAACACGGATATACACCTTCGTTATTTCACCTTGGCGGCCTGAAATCACCACCAATGTCGATGCGCGCGCTCTACATTTCGATTTTTACGTCGTAGAATATCCGTCGATAGAGAGGTGTAAACGGATCGATCGATAGTTAACGCGATTGATAAATAAGCACGGGATTACGAAATTTACACACGCCCATTTCATGTTTGATTTCCGTGAAATTGAATTTTGTCACGCGTGTTAATCTACGAGAACGCTTCGTTGTCGCGCCCGCGTGAAAATCATCCTACCATAACCTTGTTTCTGGCCGGGCAAAAAATTTTTACCGTGCAACTCGCCTCGAAGAAGCGCTATTTGCCGAACAAATATCCGTTTTCGGTTCATCGTGTTTGCCGTGTTTCCCCACTCGGAATAAACTTTACTCCCATCAACGTGAAAGCTCATCACGTGAAAAATCACTGGCCATATCGCGCCGCGTTCATCCGGCCGACTCCGTCCAACCGGTAGTCACGCTTCTTCACTTTCGAATAAGGAAGGATTTCCCGGCTCTCGATAAATCGAAAATCCATTTATTCCGTTCGAAAGATGTTCCGATTTTCCCCCTCCGGGCAATTCTAGATACTTTGGCGAAACATCGAAAGTAAGAGAAATAAGAAATCAAGGGGAGATTCGACCGATAGAATCAAACGCACGTGTATGTATTTACGATGGCCAATTTCGAATTTTATATATGCGCTTGGATATAACGAACGATCTCTGCCGAGACAAGTTGTAAAATTACTTCATTGACGTTTCATTGACGTCTTTTATTTGGAAACAGGTCAAATGGCACTTTATTCATTCCGATTATTGGTGAATGCAATCTGATTGGCAAACACGTGTTGCATCGATACGATAGCGATGAGTTGGAAGGAAAAGGATGCGTAAGACGAATGCGAAAGAGTGTATTTGACGAGCAAGCGAATACACCATTTTATTGCAGTCAAAATCTTTTTCTCGTATTTTTTGCTTCTTTACATGAATTTAAATCAAAATTAAATTCTTATTAAAGTGAATTTGTCGCATTTTTTTCCCCAAAAATCCTTAACGTATAATAAAATTAATGTATAAAAATATGTATAAAAATTCTCCGATGATATAGAAAATCTAATTTATGTAATATATAAAATTATATATATGTGCTCTGCAGTATATGGAACAAAAATTTATATTGTATATAAATTATATTCGTATACGATATAAATATTCCGTACGATATATGAAAATTGATTTGTTAAGAATAAAGTTTATTAAGATTTTTAATCATTACAAAGGAAACAAAACTGAAGTCAAATATGATGAGCCCATTTCTTCAGCGTATAAAATGTGCATTGTAGCGGAAGAAGGACAGCGATAGGATAAAAATTCGGAAATTAACGCCATCTTCAGAGTGTCGCAAATGAAACTCGGAAATGAAGGAAAGAAAACAATAGGACGAAGATAGAGATAGGATAAGAATTGACCGTTACTGCCATCTCTTAAGCGCTCGTAGAAATATTTTTCAATAATATTCGAGAGATGGTACTAGCGATCGTTTCTTATCCTACTTTATCTTGTGTTTAAGAAATGTCTTTTGGCATTCAAAAGATACCGCTGATAGTCAATTCTTATCTTATCTTTATCTTCCACCGTCCTTTATTTAAATAGTTTCATTTGCGGCACTCTACAGATGGCGCTGATTTCCATATTTTTAGTCTATATCCATATTTGTCTAAATATTTTATCATTTCTCTCTTACAACTTTAAAAATGTGTTTTAATTTTTAACTAAATAGAAAAATATAGATGTTATATTCACTCGATGTTACATATATCTCATCGTATACTTTAATTCTTTCTAATCTGTAATCGTTTTATATGTAAATGATTTCTAAATACTCGAAAAGACCATACGTTGTGAAATAATCGTAAATTCAAATATTTGAAGAACATATACATTTTTATTTTTGGAAATGTACAATACGTTTCATCATGTACAATGGGATTTTTCATCACGGAATTAATTTGCAAAAAAATTCGTCGAACGTTACATTTATTTCATGGTTATCACTTTTGGACCATTCGATGGTATCTATTATCGACCGTGAGCACCGTTTGAAATTGTGAAAGAGATATAAGATCCCTTCTTTACTCGTGAAACGGTTGCTTTACTTTCTAACAGATGGCAATATCGATGTAAAAACCCAGCCACAATTGCACGGTTATCGAGATCGAGAAAGAATCGAACCAGAACGAAAATATATTGGAACAGATTCGATTGAAATGGAGGCGCAGTGAATTTGCACGGTTCGTTGGACGAATAATTACAAAATTAGCCGTAACAATAGGATGGGTCGCGTGGTAATTGGCGAGCGGTCGGAACAAAGAATATGTAATTAGTTTGCACGCGATTTATAAACGAGCGTTGGTTGCAAAGTCAGTGAAATCGAAAATAATTTACATTAACCGGAGTTAACGAGGGGCTTGGATTCGGTAATTAACCTATTACAGGGCGAGCTTGCTTGCATGATAATTTTCAAAATCGATACGCAACATTCCTGCGAGCTACTGTCATATTCACCGTTCCCCACAGTTCTCTCTTGCTGTAAACCATAATCAAGCGGTGACCAAACCCACCGACCACGCGAAACGAGTTCGAGGTAGCGGATCTCTCGAAATATCGATAATTGGATTCTACCTGCTCTCAGACCTTGCGCAACGATTTATCGGTTGAAAAACGATTTTTATCCTTTCAAATTGAATCGAAGATAAAACAAAGAGAGCGTAATTTCGATACGAGCGTGATCTTTTAATGCCCTCGATGACAAGTTTAAATTAATTTTTCCCTGTTTTCGACCGTTTCATTCTCCTAGTTTGTTGGTCGAGCTCTTTGACCGTCCGTAAATTGAATTAGGCGGTGACCAACAAAGGAAGGTTATTTGTCGGTCTACGTACGTGTAACGATTCGACGTTTCGTCAAAGAAAATAGAGGAATCGTTTTAATATAGGTAAATTAATTCTAGGTAATTTCGTTTTATCTTCTGAATTCGTTTTCAATTACTCGATACGGACTATGGCCCATTAATTAAAGTTTATTTATGACAGGGCTCTTTGATAAATTGATTTTGCATGGTTGATAGAGAAATTTTCATTTCTCTTCCCTCGTTACAACGTTTTTCCTTTTGCCGTCGCTCGAGCCAATATCGGGACAGCATAATTCGCGTACGTTCCCGTTGCTATTCGCGGGAATACCCTTTTCCCAACGATGTTATTCGAATCTGGGCCATCGACGACAAAAGGAAAAAGCGAGAGGGAAATTTCATTGAATAGAAAGAATAGGAAATCTACAAAAGAGAAGCTGTAAATGGCGGACATAAAATCCTTCTTTATGCTCTTGCACAGGCTTTGCATGCCAATAATGCTAAAGTTTTTTTCTTCTCTCTCTCTCTCTCCTTCTTTCTCTTCCTCTCTCGATATCTTTCTTTCGATTAATTTGCGGAGAACGTTGTTGGTTCGATTAAAGGTGTACGCGTTAAAAATGTTCCCCACGTTGGATTTTTCTATTTCTACACGGAAAAATTATAATCGATATCGCTCTTCGATTCCCAACAATTTTTACCATTTTTACCATGCGTTGATTAAAGTTGGCATCCCGATATATCTATAATAAATTGCCATGTAATCGTAATGCTGCGCAATTTTCTCAATTCGAAACGATATGATTTCGTGTATCGAGGGGAAAGATATCTCGCGATACATAGAATATATGTAGGCCATCGAAGAGCAAGTTTTCGCCGGACAGATTAAGAAAATAGACAAACGTTGGAAGGGACGAGGAGTGGAGAGGGGAGGTTTGGAGTTAGTTCAAACGATAGCAGCCGTTTCGCCTCCGCGTCCCGTTTAATTCTGCCTCGTCACTGCCTGGAACTTGCCGTTGGCAGTTATTGGCCGGAAAAAAAAGAGGGGGGAGGGGGGGGGAGGATGGTGGTCTCGGTAAAGGTTGACGGCCATTTTGATTCATCGGGCTCGGTCTTCTCTTTCGAATAAATAATGGCCGGGAAAAGGGGTTTTTTCGTACGCGGAGGTACGGTAAGGTGCGCCAAGCTATTTCGGCCAGCCGTAATTCATATTTACGACCAATGGGAGTTACGCCAACTATAAGAGGCTGCATAATGAAACTCGGTCGCGGTAACACCGCTTCTGCTTTTCCAGCCTCTTTGGTTTACATTTTTTTTTTTTTATTATATATATACACGAAACATCGCATCTACATTTTTTTTTCCTTCCCCCCTAATATCTCACACCCTTGTTCGAATCCGTACAGACAGATGGGCTCTGGCTTGCCACGGGAGGGGCCGATTTTTGGTCCCAAGTCCATTCCTTCGATCGAATCTCGATGCTTTCGAGAACCTCCCCACGACTGCTCGAAGGGGGAGGGCTACTTGGGTCCAGCCACGCTTCTATTCCCGCGTTCCAAATTCGACGATCTTTCGTCCGCACGGACTTGTTTACGGATTGTTTAGACGGTTCGAACTATTTACGCGGAAGATTTATGGGATCGGCGTTTCGAATCCGGACGATTTCGCAACCGTTCCGGGTCGTTTCGTCGCTTTTAATGGAACCAGCGGGAGCGATAACTGTTGGGAACGGAGGGGAAAAAAAAAGGAAAAAAAAAAAAAGGTTCTCCTTGCGCGTGGCAAAATGGGAGTAAACTAGCGTTCAGTTCCATTACATAAAACACGATTACGTCGCACTTTTCGCGCGGCTTCGGCCCTTTCCGGTTCATTGAACCCCCTCACCCGTCCCGTTTAATCCTCTTTGGAAACCGGCATTCGCACCACCGGAATAATTTTATTCCAGAAAGCCAACCTTTCTTCCCGCTCTCTTTATTATTACGCTCCTACAATTTCTACAATTTCTACAATATATATATATATATATAAAATAACGGTTAAAATAGAAAAAAACGAAGACGCGTGATATTTATCGCGAAGTCGACTCGTTCCAACCTGGGAAAAAAGCGTTAACGTTTTAACGAGGGACGTCCGGCTGTAAGTTTTAATTGGTCGTCCCCGATCCTCGTTCGTCGAACGAAAAACAGGCGCAGCGCCACACGCGTCGCCGATTCGATCTCCGCGTTCCCTCTTCTTCGCTCCCCGCCTCGCCTCGCCTCGCCTCGCCACGCCTAGCCTAGCCTTTCTCCGTCCTTCCTTCCTCGCTTCTGCCCGCAAAGTTGCAGGGTGGATCCAAACGTTCGCCGAGAGTCAGAGCTGGAAACATAAAACTTTGGACGACATAACTCACCCATTTCCAGACTATCCCTTCGAGAAATTATTTTCTAGGTGGAGGCGAACACGTTCCGCTCTGGAGAGATGGAGAAGTATTTCCTCCGCGCGTGGAGGCAGAATGAGAGAGAGAGATTGCGAGCTTCGTACGAGACCTTCGAGTCTCGGGGGGATACGCGAAAAATCCCCCAGAGAAGGCAAGTCTCGGTCTCGATCAAACATTAATCGTGCCTTTCGACGGATAAATTGACAGCGCCCGTTTTATTCGTCTCGCCCAACCGGTATTTGTCCACGATCCCGATACACCAATACGCTTCCTCTCCACCCCTTCCTTCCTTTCTTTCCTCCAGTCGAAACAACACAGTTCCATCGAATCGTTGCACAAAGAAGCGTTTCTCGTGCACGAGTTTATCGACTCGAAATCTGTAAAAATACTACGAACCAAGCTAGATCACGGGAGAGGATTTTAGGCGATCAGCCGAGGGAGAGCCAGCCTTGTAAACGATTTCGTTGGTTTCGACCACGCGGAGCGTGGCACCGTGGAGAGGAGCAAAGTAGCGGTTGGACGGTAGCAAATAATCTGATTAACGATCGAATAGGCGAGAGCTTGTTGCGTTCTAACCCGGTAATGGCCTCCCATTATTCGCCCAGTCGTGTCTTCGTCGAGGGATAATCACGATCATCTCTCCATTTACTACCGCGATTCGATCGTCGATTTTTATCCGAGAGAGAGAGAGAGAGAGAGAGAGAGAGAGAGAGAGAGAGAGAGAGAGAGAGAGAGAGAGAGTACGTACGTAC